AAGCAAGAGTGAGACCCTGTCTCTACTAAAAATAGAAAAATTAGCTGGGCAGCTAAAAATAGAAAAAAAAAATTGCCAGGCACGGTGGGGACACATGCTTGTAGTCCCAGCTACTCGGGAGGCTGAGGCAGGAGGATCGCTTGAGCCCAGGAGTTGGAGGTTGCTGTGAGCTAGGCTGATGCCATGGCACTCTACATGGGCAACAGAGTGAGATTCTGTATCAAAAGAAAAAATTATGACCTGTATATTTTATGATGAGACTGTTTCTCTAAAAACAACGAAGTCATCACACTTTCAAAAGGGAGGGATACCATCTGTACAGTGTCAGATGTTTGCCCTGCGTATCTGTGGGTTTTGTACCTGTGGATTCAACCAACAGAGGCTTGAAAATCTTGGGAAAAAAAATTGCATCTATGGTGAACGTGTGCAGACTTTTTCTTATCCTTGTCATGATTTTGCAGACAATACAGTATAATAACCATTCACGTGGCATTTATATGGTATTAGGTATTATTAATAAGTCATACTATAAATAGTACTACAGTATAGCAACCATTCGTGTAGCATTTACATGATATCACATATTGTAAGTTATGCAGAGATGATTTAAAGTGCAGGGAGGGATATTTGTAGGTTGTATGCAAATGCTACATTTTATATCAGGGACTTGAGCATCCGTGGATTTTGGTATCTGTGTGGTTCCAGGAACCGATCGCCAAGGGATACGACTGTATTTCGTTAATTTCCTCCCCCAGGTGGTCTTTGAAATAAATTATGCAGCACCACTGCCACCTACTGGCCATTCAGTGAGTTACTAACTCAGGGTTTTTTAATTTTGGGGAGCTGACACCCAGACCAAAAAAAAAAAGCAGAGGGTTATTTTTGTAAAGCCTGATAACTGTATAAAAGCTGGTCTGAATCCTGCCGTCTTTATTCTACTTTATAGCTACTTTGGTATACATAACGATGTCAGTGTGGACGGCTAGTTCTGTGTTTTTCAGAGTAAACCTGAATTTTTCATGTAGAGAGAGATAGATACACATTAATATATTTAGGAAAAAAATATGTAATTTGGTATCTTCTCAGCCAAGTGTTTCATCCTACAGTGTCTTGGGTAGGGAAATGTAGTTAATTAAAAGACGAGGGCTGCCTTTTATTTTTGAAAACTTACCAGTTGTTGTTTACTCTTGTTCCTACTGCATTTTTATTTATTTTAGTTTAGATGCATCTTTTTTGTTAAAGTACGTCCCATGTATCACAAAAGTGCGCACACAATAAGTATACAACTCACTGAATTTTTACAGTGCAAAAGCCTGTTACAGTCACAGTCCAGATAGAGAAAGTCCTCCTAAAAGAACCTTTGTTTCCTCCCAGTCACCGGGAAATGACATTGGTCGTCTACAATAGCTTACCTTTCGATCTCCGTGTTCGTGGGCTCATACAGTGCGTACCTTTTGCGTGTGGCCTCTCCTTTTTGGCAAGACGTGTACATGAGATCCATCCGTCTTGCAGAATGAATCAGTAGCTCACGCATCCTCATGGGCTGCATATACAACGTATCGATTAATTCTACCCTTGATGGATGCTTTATAGGTTTGGCCAAGACAAATAACACTGCCAGGAACATTGTTGTGCATGCATTTTGTTGCTTTCGTGTGTACATTTTTGTAGAGTTTATACCTAATGGTGGCACTGCCACATCAAAGCATATGCGATTGTAGTTTTAGTAGATTCTGCTGAAGATTTGCAAAGGGGCTGCCTTGCAGAGTGTCACTGAGCATGTTGGATGTCTTATGCTGGTTTTAATTTGCACATATGAGATGGTTAATGAAGCCTGGCTTATTTTTATGTGCTTCTTGAGCATTTGCATATCCTCATTTCGAAGTGCTCATTCTAAGGTTTTTTAAACATTTACTGGTAGTGCAAACCCTTCAACTTTGTTCTTTCCCTGTTCCTTCGGGCCCCTTTAAATTTCCATATGAATAGGAGAATCAGTTTGAAAAATGTCTTTAAAAATTAGAAAAACAAACTTCTGGGATTGTGTTGAATCTGTAAATCAGTTTAAGGAGGATTAATATCTCTAATTTATTAAGTCTTCCACTCTATAAACTTGGGGCATTTCTATACCTGTTTAGACATTCTTTAATTGCTCTCAATAATGTCAATTTTTTTTGGTAGCAGTCTTGCACATATTTCCTTAGTCCTATTTTTAGTTTTTGTAGGGTTTTGAGGCTATTGTATACAGCATCATTTTAAAAATGAATTTTCCTATTTGATACATGTATAGAGAAATACATTTGAGTTGGAGTCCAGCAACTTTGCTAAATGTTTGCATATTAATAATTCTAAGGTGCTGCCTGGCTACTCTGTGTGCAAAATTACATCTACAAACGGAAAACTGACAATTTCTTAAAATTTTAAACATACACCTACTATGTGATTCAGACATTCCGCTCTTAAATATTTACTCAAGAGAAATGAAAACATATGCCCATACAAAGACAAATACCAATTTTATTTGTATTATAATAGCCCCGATCTGGAAACAACGCAAATGTCCATCACTCAGTGGATATATAAGCAAATTATGGCATATTCCTACAATGGAATACTACTTTGCAATAAAACAGATTAAACTGTTGTCACACACAACAACACAGACAAATCACAAAAATAATTACGCTGAGTGAGTGAAGCCAGACAAAAGATAATGCACAATGTATGATTCCATTTATACAGAATTCTAGATAATGTCAGATAATCTATAGTGATAGAAAAGAGATTAGTGGTTTCCCTGGGAATGGGCATAGAGGTTATTAGGGACACTGGGAGATTTTGGGGGGTGGTGGACATGTTTGCTATCTTGGTTGTAGTGACACCTTCATAGGGGAAGACGTATCTCAAAGTTTGCCAAATTGCACAATTTAAATATGTGCAAATTTTTGTCTGCAAATTATACCCCAATAAAGCTGCTAATGAAACAAAAACTAATTCAAAGTTACTGTGTATTTCTGGTGGATTGATCTTATTGTTATGAAATGTTTCTCTTTATCACTGCTAAAATTTGTTTTAACTCTTTGTTTTGGTTAATATTCATATGGTATGTCTTGTACCATACGATTACTTTCAATGTTTCCATTTGAAACGTATACATAAGTTGTGACTCTTTAAGAAGCTTAGAGGTGGGTTTTGTTTCCCATTTTATCTGCTCAAATACCTTTTGCCTTTTACGTGGAGTAGTTTATTGACACAGAATTTAATTACTGGTATATTTATGTTTAAATCTATCTCTTGGTTT